CGTAAAGAGAGTTCTTTTTGGTTTTGAAAATTAGAGGATATCACATGTTCCACGACCTGACTCCGACATTCTTGAATATCCTTTTGCAAATCCATTATTATTTGGTCGTTATTTATGGCTAGTACAATTAGTTGTGGTGGTGGTGGTTCAGATGCATATGAACCTTTGCTTAGCATCTTGTCATGCATGTTTTTGTAGAGTCTCATAATTGGGTGACCTATGAGGTGATAGTGTAACAGACGTTCCATGTAAATGTGTGCAGTAGATAAAGCATCGCGTTCAACCCATGCGGACCTAAAAGACCACCGGGTCGCCCAACTCTCATCCATTGGTAACTGCAACGTCTCTATAAGTTTATTATCCTACTAACATAATTATTCATCAATTTTTAACATCATTATACATAGGGTTGAAAATAAAAGATTTATATAAATAATCATACTCACTCAACATCAAGAAACGTATCACATTACAACTTCTTTAAACTCCTAAGCTTCGAGCATCCAACAACCAGAATGATCACATTCGATTGTCAGGTACCAAACAAACTGTTGATCGAAAAACTTTTCAAAATCCATATCTTGAAAGAGTCATGTATCAAAATATTAGCAAACATAAAACGTTAAAGAAGTAATAATGTATTTTACCTTAAAAGTGTATAAAAATTCTCTTATGTTGTACATCAATTTTTGAGGTTGTGTTTTATTCTTTGGCGGATAAATAAGTGTATAAATCTTATCAAATATCGTCCCTAACTGAGAGTACAATTGATCCTAAATTGTTCTCCCCACGAATATATGCGACATAAAAAAAGGCATTGTTACTTCCGTAAAAAAGAATTTCTAATTATAATTATGAATTAACGACATGATACTTGTTGAAATTATCAAAGAACGATATCAAACCTAAATACTTCTCTTTCACAGGCTGATTAGTCAACCAACCGTTAAAAACCATTCTCCAATAGATATAATACACAGACATGGATTACATCATTGTCCGGATGAAGCAATGTTTCAAATACATCAATAACATGTTGTAATTTTACGAACTAAATCTTCTTAACAATAGGAAAGAGTAAAGACACAAACCGGAATCCGAGGCAACAAAATATTCACCGAACATATTGGTTGGTTTGATATCATCTTGGTATTCAAATTTTGGTTGGTTTGATATTACCATGGTATTCAAATTTATCTATCATTACCATACTAAAATTGTTTAATTAATACAATACTATCAACCAAAGATATTGTTTACTAACTTTTTTGGTTTGGTTAATAATAATATATTGATTGGTTTTCATAATACTATTTTGATAACCTAATATTAGTCTAAATTTATATCAAATATATAATTTTAAATAAAAAGGGCTCAAATATTGTCAAGATAGTTATTAAGACATGCAAAAATGATATTTTCTTATTAGTTATTATCCCAGTGACATTTTATACGAAGGAGCTTGTGATCTGTGGAGTTGTGGTATAAAATTGATGCACCTAGCTCGTGGGACCGGTCCAACCCGCTAACTTACGCTAATGCTAATGTAAACCACAATCATGATTTCTACTAATTTACGCAACCTGCATCTTCCTGTGTCTCCTGAAAAACATCAGCGACTATTTCCACCTAATCCTCCATTTTCTCTTTCTATCATCCAATGAGCTGAGGATCTATTGATCTCTCCATTGAATCCGAGGTAAGTCAATGTTCTATAAACTCTACGAATCTATACACGCAGCTTGATTCAAGTATTTGTTTGAGCTAATTCTTGCACTTGAATTTGAATCTACACTGGTTGATGGTTAGAATTGAAAGTTTTTTACTACAGAATGTTGACCCTAAAGTTTGTTTGGTGAATTTAATTGAACGATTTTATTGCATTTGATGCCAATTGTGGATTTTGACTGGACAATCATGAAGTATTGATGTGACTTTATTGCCTGAGCATCATCTATCGCAAAATTAATGTTTGCATGTACTGTGATTGAATTACCATGAATTCGCTAGGATAAAACTCATAATCTGTCTGTGATAGATATGCACTTCTTGCAAATTGAGAATTTCACCAGATAAACAATGCGTTATTGTTGTGACTTCGTTGTTGGAATTTCATAAATCAAAAAGGTTCGCAGGTATCGCGATAGGTATAAAGGAGAATCATAACTTGTTTAAGAATAAAACTCTAAAGCTATTCCTGAAACTTTCAGTTCTTTTTTCTTCTTTTATAAAGTTAGAACTGTGGACTGATTATTCAAGTATGCACTTTATCAAATCAAATTCGATTGGCTATACCTAAAGTTGATGTCACTCAGTGTTTAGTTTGTAAAACATGTATTTATTTGCTTGAAACAGTGAACTTTATTAATGAACAGTTTTTGCTATTTGGTTCACCTGTAAATAGACGTCACCCAATGTTAGAACATGGAAAAAGTAACCCATAAGTTCAGATTTCTAGTCTATTTCTTTTCTATATAAGGAAAGTTCCAATATCATCATATAATAATCCAGAACTTTGTGTGCAGTTTTTACTATTTGGGACTTGTAGCTGATTGAACAATGAACAATTTGAAGGATAAGAAAATGGGATCCATGATACCTCAGTTTCTTCTTATTATCTATTTTCTCTTCTTCTTTCTGAACAATGTCAATGCTGGTGTCACAAGCACTTTCATCCGTTCAGAATGGCCTTCAGTTGACATTCCTCTTGATAATGAAGTTTTTGTGAAACCCAATGGTCATAATGCACCTGAACAGGTATTATTGTCTACTTACATTTCTTCATCTCTTTTCATCCTTTCAATTTACTTATTGTTTCATGTTCTTATTCTTTAGGTACACATCACTCAAGGAGATTATGATGGAAAAGCCATGATCATAATATGGGTGACACCTGATGAACCAGGGTCAAACCAAGTCAAATATGGGACATCAGAGAATAAGTATGACTTTACTGCAGAAGGAACTGTGAAAAGCTATACTTTTTACAACTACACATCTGGATACATTCATCAGTGCCATGTTGAAAATCTTGAGGTATTTGTTAGTTAACTCAATGACAATAATAGTTTTATTTATGGAAATGATTCTTTATAAAGACTTTAAAGATCTTATCTTGTGTGTTTCTTGTTAGTATGACACCAAGTACTATTATGAGATTGGAGAAGGTGATTCTGCTCGACAATTTTGGTTTCAAACACCTCCAAAAATCGATCCAAATGCTTCTTACAAATTTGGAATCATAGGTGAGTGAGTCACTTGTTTGTTTTGTAAAATTACTTAAATACCCTTTTAACCGTATGTGTTTTTTTCAGGCGACCTAGGGCAAACATACAATTCTCTATCCACTCTTGAACATTACATTCAAAGTGGAGCACAAACAGTGTTACATGTTGGAGATTTATCTTATGCTGATAGATATCAATACCATGATATGGGTGTAAGATGGGATTCATATGGTCGTTTTGTTGAAAAAATTGCAGCATATCAACCATGGATATGGACCACAGGAAATCATGAGATAGAGTATATGCCATATATGGTAAGTCATGAAATATGAAAATAGATTTTTTAATTCTTCAACTTTTTACTCATAATATTTTCTTGTTTTCATCAGAATGAAGTTGTCCCTTTCAAACAATATCTTTATAGATACCCCACTCCTTATACTGCTTGCAAAAGCAGTAATCCTCTTTGGTATGCAATCAAACGTGCATCCGCTCATATAATCGTGCTATCCAGTTATTCCCCATTTGGTAACCTTCTTTTTCTCGTAAAATTACCATTTTACCCTTACATTCCAAAATTAAAAAAATCACAATTTTTTTTTACAGTAAAATACACACCTCAATGGGAGTGGCTGAAGGAAGAATTTACAAAAGTGGACAGAAAGCAAACACCATGGCTTATTGTCATCATGCATTCACCTATCTACAATAGTAATAGTGCTCATTACATGGAGGGTGAAAGCATGAGAGTTGCATTTGAATCTTGGTTTGTTCAATACAAAGTTGATGTGGTGTTTGCAGGACATGTTCATGCTTATGAAAGATCGGTTTGTCTCTATCTTACTTTTGTTGTTATTAAAGGGTATTTTAGACATTTGGTTAACAAACATTTTGTTGTATTCAGTATCGGATCTCAAACATACACTACAACATTACGGGTGGTGTGAGTTATCCTGTGCCAGATAAATCAGCTCCTGTTTATATAACAGTTGGAGATGGAGGAAACCAAGAAGGTCTTGCATCAAGGTGATCTTTTCTTTTCTTTCATATTTTTGCTATTTCTTTCATTTATTTATATTCTGAAATTGTTCTTTTTACAAATGATTATGTTTTCCTCAGGTTTAATGATCCTCAACCTGAGTATTCTGCATTTCGGGAGGCTAGCTATGGACATTCTACATTAGAAATAATGAACAAAACACATGCATTTTATCATTGGAATCGAAATGATGATGGGAAGAAAGTTGCAACCGATTCCTTTGTGTTACACAACCAGTACTGGTGAGTACCTAATTTATACTGTGTTTAGTGTGCATTGAACTGTGACTGATAGTCTGATACTAATGTCAATGGGATAAAAATCGTAATGGTGTAGGAACAAGAGTCTTCGAAGAAGGAAATTGAAGAAGAATTATCTACACACTATTGTCCCTACTCTTGAACTTAACCAATTATGAAGGAAAATATCCATGAAATGAAGGCGTTGAGTATGTGTTATTGTCATTCAAAGATTCCATTAATTAGCTTCTATGTTGTAATAACAAGTTTGAAGGTAGAATTTATACAAAATAATGAGTTTTAAGGGCATAGAACTTCTTTGTTGTATTCATGGACATACAAGTTGTAATGTATTTAGCGTGCATTAAACTATGGTCAAAAACATAAAAGACGAAAAAAGATTATTATTCATTGCAATATTTCTATAGATACAACCAAAATAAGATGATGCACCAAATTCTTGTACTATGTAACAACATGCATTGTATACTTGTACTCTTGGTAAAAAAAAAAAAAAAAAACATTACAAGAAGCAAATCTAAAATGAGAAGAGAAATTTTAAGTTTTACAAAGCTAGAAATCTACAATACAAGAAACTTGAAATCTTTTGGATTACCCTCTTCTTCCTTGTCTAAGATAGTCCATACGAATGGCCCATAACTGCTCTCCAACCGTCTTCATGTCTGGCCGATCAGCTCGTGTGGGGGCCGCACATTGAAACGCCAAACTCAACATTTTCTCAAAAATCTCCTCGTCCACGGCTTCCCTCATTTGCGGGTCCACCAAGTCCATCGCTTCGCCTTTGTTGTATTTCCCAAACGCCTGCAAAATATCATATATCGTACAACTTTTAATGCACATAGTACAACATATGCAAAACCCTTAAGGCTTAAACCCTAAGCACTAAACCCTACTCACGATAGTGATATTGGTTTACAAGATATCTGACTACAAACCCCACTTTTTAATACGCATATAGGATAGGATTAGGCCCCACATAACACGACACAGATCATTGAGTCTACTGCGTGTCAATAGGACAAAAACTACAGTTTCTTGTCCTATCAAAAAAAAGTAGAACAAGATGGGAAAGGGACTTGCTCTTTATATTTTGTTTGTGAAAAAAAAGTAAATAGTAAATACCCTTCTCTGCATAATCGAGATAACACTAGAAAATAGAGAAAGTAGCGTACCACCACTAATGCAAAATGTACAAGATGAAGAATTGGAAGCTTACCCATCTAATTGTGACCTTTTCCTCGGGTACCCGTTTAGACTCAACGGGTCGACGACCTGTAAGAATTTCTATAAGCAAAACACCGAAAGAGTAGACATCGCTCTTTGGAGTGAGTTGATAAGTTCTCATATATTCCGGGTCAAGGTACCCGACTGTCCCTTTGACTTTAGTCATAACATGTGTTTTGCCCGATTCAGCTGCCCCAAGTCGGGCAAACCCGAAATCCGCCACTTTGGCCCGCATCCTCTCATTCAAAAGAATGTTCGATGATTTCACATCTCGGTGGATTATTTGTTTTTCTATCAAAAATTAAACATCAAATACAAGTGTCAAGATAAAGGAGACCAAATTTGTAAAAAGTTAGGACTGAAGATATGAAAACTGTGATTCTATAACAAAAAAAAATCAATAAAAGGCATCACCTGCGTATAAATGAAGGTAGGTTAAACCATGAGCAATATCGATTGAAATTTCAAGCCGTTGACTGAAATCCAAGCAACTTCCATGAACCGCTGTTAAAAAGAAAAATATAAATTAGAGTAAATTACAAATTTGGTCCCTATGGTTTCATTTTCTTTCCACATTATGAATTGGGAAATATTTGTTAAACTTACCATCTAAATGTTCTCTAAGTGTCCCATTAGACACGTATTCTGTAATAATAAGACGCTCATTCCCTTTATCAACATAACCAAGCAATTTCACAAGATTCCGATGCTCAATCTTTGCAAGTAACTCGATCTCACTTCTAAATTCACTTCTTAGAGCATCAAAATGTTCCTGCATTAAATTTCTTATGTTAACTATTTCCATTTTCATTTGTTGAGAAATAAAGATGCGATTCTATTCATATTATTATTATCACCTTGCTTGCTCTTTTTATAGCAACAAATTGACCATCTTGTAGTTGAGCTTTATAAACAGTTCCAAATCCCCCTTCACCTAATTTCAACGATGGTGAAAAATTTTGAGTAGCTCTTGCAACTTGACTCACTGTTAGATGAACCGATCCAATCCTATCAAGTTTTGGGGACATTGAAAATCTACCGGGGCTCGGTGGGACCCGCAATGGACTTGCGGGAATCTTTCCGGATACCGAATTCATTTCTACAGATGGAGCACTCTCCACTACAAAATCAAATATCAAACCATTCTTTTAAGAACCAAATTTCCGATTTCTGTTGATGTGTAATAAAAGATTTGAGAAAATAAATGAGGGTGAAGTCAGAAATGATGTGTTTTGCGTAAACAAAGACCTTTTTTTTTTGGACTAAAGATAACATGAAAACATTCTAAAATAGAAATGTTGCGTTTTCAAAGGTAAAGTAATTGATAGTAAACTAGGTTTTCATCAAGATTTTTTTAAAACTACATAAAATGATTCAAAATAACATAACTTTTTACTCACGTGAATTTGAATCCTTAACAAGAGCAGCATCATCTGTATCTTTTCTTTTAGATCGACAAAAACAAGGGCAAATAAAACTGCAACAAAGAAACAACATTCCTGTTCCTCCCATGGCCATATATTTTGTTCTAAACACCGATTTTTTAGTTTCTTTTATCACTAATTCACGTAAGACTCTCCTTCCAGCCTCCACAGGCAAATCATCTACAAAACAACACACAAATCGGCATAAAAATGTTGTTTTTAGAAGGGGAAATAACATAACTTGATACAAAGTTAGAAACTATAATTATATACCTGAAAAAAGATCCTCCTCAAAGCAGTGATTCACAAAGTTTTTACCAATGAAGCAGTGATTTGCATTGTGTAACTTGATAAACTTGCAAAACGAATCTTTATTTACTAATTCTCCGTTTAAGTAAAGACCAAAATCACTCGAATAGAGAATATTATATGTTTCACAAGGCTTTGTATGTGATAATTGAGAGGTGAAAATGATCGGTAATTGCATCAATAGTAGAAAACTTGATACAAAAACTTGCATTCTCATTTCAAGAACATGAATATTCCATCTTTTTTGGAGGCCATTGCTAAAAAGATAGTCGATTCTCCTTGTGGGTTTCTTTCGTTTTGGGAGTGGAAACTGATGATGATTGTTTCTTGGTTCATTGAACTGAGAAAAAAGAGAGAGAATCTTGATGGGGTAGTGATACTTTACTAATATCTCAGATATTTTGAATCAAGAATCATGGAGTCAACAAAAAGTCTTGAAAATCTTATCACCAAATCGACAGACGTAATTTAGCCATGTGAGAAATGAAGTGGAAGAGCAGAAGAATCTTTATGGAAATGACTTGGAAGCTTCAAAGAACTCAAATACAAAACCACGACTTGATTTTCTTGAATCGAGAATAATTTTAAAACAGAGCTTTATAAGACGTCAAGAACCCTAGAATCCGAAAGGACCAAAACCCTGTTTCTAAAAAAAAAAAAAAAAAAAAAAGTTCCAAGATTTGCGTAAAAGAATCCAATTTCCCCCAAAATTATTACATGTAAAACAAACCCATGCGATGAAACAAGAAAGAAAGCAAAACCCTATTTGAAAACCTCTTAAACTGCCATTAACGAGAAAAACTTTAACAAGCCACAGAATTTCACACTCCAAAGATGAAACCAAATTGATTCTTTGATACCCACGAAAGGAAAAAAACAGTAAAAAAAAGTTCTAAATTGACACTCCTCCTTTCAAGATTCGCATATTAAAAACCCAATTTTGGCCAAAAAAACAATAAATTCCATCAAACCCAATCGACAGTTACCATAAATAACTCACACCCACATCATAAAACAACCAAGTACACATATATACAATCCCATGATTGGTCAAAATTTGTGAAGCAACTCAGGAAGGTACCAATTCAAATTTAAGTCAAGATAACTGTAAAAGATAAAGGCCAAACCTTTAAAAAGGTGATTGAATGACAACAATAGTGACTTTTTTAATGTTTCCTCTGAAAGAAGATTCGTATGCAGCTTGCTGGAAGGACCTGCGAAGGCAGGAAGAAGAGCGAGAGAGAGAGAGAGAGAGAGAGAGTGGCGGGCTTAATGAAACTGCCAAAACGAGGAAGCTGCCAATAAATAATGTCCTCATGCCCATGTAAACAAAATGAGCTAGTCTTGAAATTCGTATGATTTTGTGAGATGTTCACACGAGGTCATTCTCTCTAGAATTGTAAGTTTTGGTCAAATTATATTTACTACTTATGGTTTTTTATAAATATTTATTGGGAAGACATGATGTGTTTTCTATAGCTAAAGTGAACATGAGTTTATATAACAATTGTAATGATTGGATTTTGTAATTTTGAATAATCTGTTTTAATTTCTTGGATATGGACTGGAATGTTATTGGCTAAATGTAAGATTAGTTGTTAGTGTGAACAAAACATCGACCGGATTATTATATTATTATGAGTAAATAATGCAAAACTAATGTAGTTAGGTGAATTGAATACTTTGAATATAAGTAGATAATTGAATATGATATTATGTTTGATAATATTGATTATAGGTTTAATATAAAGTTTTGGGAAAGGGATAAAATATTGAATATAGGTTTGATTTTGAAATGTAGATGGAGAAGTAATAATAAGATAGAACATTATGTATGCCAATTAGTAAATAAAGTTTCAATTGCAATATCAACGTGTAGATTAAGAAAAAAAGGGTAAGCTTTTGTTTTGATAATTCAAAGAAACCATGTTTAATAAATAAAACTTTTGCGGCCGGTTTTGAAGTTAAAAAGGTTGATTGGTGTCCGCTTTCCTATCTAACTTAAGCCACACATACATAGATGCATCTAGCAAAAGGTAAAGCCACTAACACACCTCAATAATTTCCAATACCCAATATACCACATACATATATGCATCTAGCTAAAGGTAAAGCCACTAGCATACCTCAATAATTTCCAATACCCAATATGCCGCATACATATATGCATCTAGAAAAAGAGTGATTTCAAAATTGGTGATTTTAGTGTTATTATATCATTTTAAGTAATTGTAACTAACAAGTGAGCTAAGGGGTTTCAATATTTGTACTTTAATATATGTATGGGGTTGTACTAGGGATGAGCAAAAACCGAACCGATAACCGAAAAAACCGACATAACCGAAACCGAAAAACTGAAAGCAAAGCAATAACCAACGATTTAGGTTTGAATTTTACAAAAACTGTAAAATAACGGTTTGGTTCGGTTTTGACGTATAAAACTGCCCATAAAAACCGAACCGACCCATACATATATTATTTATTATGTTTTAAATTTTTAGTTTTAGACTTTAAACTTTTTCATTTTAGTACTTTATGTTTATTTTCAACAAACTATTAATGGTGATAAACTTTGATCTTTTGAACACATTTATGCTTTTAGAATACTAGAATTCGTACTCTTTATTTTAGTATATTTGAAATAGATACAATACAATTTATCGCTACGTACTTTCATCAGGTTTGAACCCAAAAACTAGAAAACAACAGGAGCTTATAAACCCACGGTTTAAAACTGAAAACCCATAAACCCAAACCGGGAAACCGAAAAATCGAACCATGTAAAAACCAAACCTATCTGGGTTTAAAAACCGAAAAACCGACTTTCTACGGTTTGGTTTGGTTTTAGCCAAAAACCGACCCATGCTCATCCCTAGGTTGTACGGAGTGCAGGCATGTATAAGATCGAATTAGAAGTCGGTTCGACGACTAGTCGGGGGTCCGGGGGCGCGCCCCTGGGTTCGGGGTTTCCAAAGGGGCACCGCCCCTTTGGCGGGGTCTAGGGGCAGCACCCCTAGCGGTGTCCAAGGGGTAGAGCCCCTGTCTGGTTTTGGTAACCCTAAATCCTCATTAAATATGAACTAACATCTGTTTTTCCACACTTTATTTTCAAATCGTCAAGTTCTTCAGTTACAGCAACAAGTTTTTTTTTTTTTTAATGTGATCATAATTTTCTCACTTGTTGCTGTAATCTTCTTGTAGTTTCTTAAAGTCCTTAGTCTTGGCCTCTGATTGAGCTTTCAGAGGTTTCTGATCCTTCCTAATTGTGTATCGTTCGTATTTTAAGTCCTCATTTTCCCTTTTTAGCAAATCAATTTGTTCGCGAAGAAATTTAATCGTAGCTTCACAAGATGGAGTACATGAAACTTCATTGACCGGGATGTTTGAGGAACTCATATTTTTTTTATTATTATTTGAATTACCCTTTGACTTAAAAACCGAGAAAGTCAACCTTAAAATTCAAATTTAGAAAGTCAAACTTAAAAATCAAACTTGAAAAGTCAAACTTCAAAGTTAAATCGAAAAGCTAAATTTGAAAATTTTAAAGTCAAACGAGAAAGTCAACGCTTAAAGTCAAAGGTCAAACTTTAAAAGTCAAAGTCATAACTTTAAGGTAAAAAGTTAAAAATAAAAGTCAAAAATTAAAAACTAATTTTTTTTTTGGTTGAAAATGGAATTTTATAATAAAGAAAATTGATTTTTGGGTTAAAGATGTAAAAAATGTGAAAGAAGGGTCGAAATGAAGGCACCTTATGAATTAAATTGGCAAGGATTGTATCAACTTGCTGTCTAGAAGAGTTGGAAGGGGTGCTGGTTGAGTTGGGAGGAGACGTGAGATCGATCTCTGGCACCTCCAAAAAATCCGCTCCCTTTTTTTTAAGTGTAAACAATCTTGCTGTGAGCACTATATGATTTAAATTTCGAAGGATGGGAACAAAGGACTTGTTAGTCTAACGCGTAAAACGCGCCTTTGATCAACTAGAAGATCCGGGTTCGATCCCCGACACCTTCTATTCCATTTCGTATTTTTTTAAATGAGGCTGTCCACCAAGCCGTCTTCTCTAGCCTCATACCGAGCAACTCCAAGCTGTACACCGAGCTGCACACTCCGCCGCACACCTTCAATTGGTCGCACACCTTCAACAGATTAGCGAAAAAACGACGTTTTTCAACCTTTTTTTGCTCCAAAGAAGAAACTCCCCCTAATTTTCAGAGATCTATCAAAAAACGCAAAAATATTTCGAAAATAAGATCAAATAAGCTCCAGATCTGACAAAATTTACTGATACCAATTGTAAGTCCCCAAATTCGTTTGTGTATCAATCAGATCCAATTGATGGTGCAGAATCCCAATCAATTGGATGATGTCAGATCAAATAGAAGAGAATGAGAAGAAGAATTAAGATGAATCTAATGATGTATTCAATAATATGAATGATGTTTCTTACAATAGATTCTCTAACACACACTATTCTTCCCTCTAACTTTCTCTATCTAAAATATGCTCTCCTCTCTCTCCTAGCCGTACACTCCTCACCTTATATATATATGAGACATTGGCCACCAGCAGCACACAAGTGTACAGCTGCACACGCGTGTGCGGCCGTACACAGGGTGTGCGGCCGTACACTGGGTGTGCGGCCGTACACACATGTGCAGCCGTACACAAGCACAAAATTATAGAAAAATATATTTTCTTAGAAAAGCAAAGTATAAACCAAAATTTTGACCCAACATAACACCTGTTACAGGTATTACTTGAGTTATCAAGTTTTAGGGTTTTGGTTCAAGGACTAGGCGAGTTGGGGTTCAACTCGTCAAGTAGAGTCTTCATTTATGGTTGGAGGCGGGATCGAGACATACTCGACGAGTCATAAGGCCTGACACGATGAGTAGGAGCTGTTAAAAGAAACCCTAATTTTTAAGGGTTTACACCCTATTTAAAGAACATAATCGGCCCTTGTGACCTCCCTTAGCACGTTTCTACCCTAAGAAAAGAGTTTTCGGCCGTGACCCCCCCCCCCCAAATCCTTGAGTGAGAGAAAGAGCCTTTGTGAGCCATTTTGGAGTATTGGCGAAGGGTTTTGGAGCTTGAAGAAGAAGGAAACAGAAGAGGAACAGTAGATCCAACATCTACATCATTTTGGTCATCATCCTAAGGTATAAAGTCGTGACCTTTACCTCTAGTTGTTTAGATCTCTTTCCTTGCAAGTGAATGACCATTTTTGGGGAAAAATGGAGTCAAGCTTGAATCTCGACTTATGGTCCCAGATCTAGACCTCTTTAGGTCCCTAATGGCATAAAGTTGCTCCCTTTATATAGTTTAGCCTCTTTCCATGCACAAGAACCTTGTATGAAGCCTAGTTTTGGAGATTTAGCGTTGAAGGACCTTGCATACACGTAAAGTTTGCAACTTTACGTGGTATATTCACTAGGAGAAGTTGGATCTAAAGTTTGTGACCCTAGATCCCACTGAAAGGCCGATCTTGGGGAAGACTAAAGGAACTCGTCGAGTCCCTTGGCTGACTCGACGAGTTGAGTAGGGTTTACTCATTTTCGGTTCAGGGTTTTCGGTTGTCATGAGTTTTCTGTTTAGGAGTTTTCGGTTGACATGAGTTTTCAGGTTTAGGAGTTTTCGGCTGTCTTGAGTTTTCGGCCTGATGAGTTTTCGGAGGGACTCGACAAGTTACACAGTGGTTGGGCAAGTGGATGACCAACTCGATTGAACTCAACGAGTTATTGGTTATACTAGATGAGTTGAGGTCAACATGGACTATTGACCTTGACTTTGGCCAAGGTTGACCAGGGTTAAATTTGAGGGTAATTTTGGGATTATGACAAGTAAGTCACTTGTTGTTGAGAAGGAGCAGCGTGTGGGATATATCTGACTTTAGTTTTCCACTTCAACATTCGAGAGGTGTAACACCCTGTTCTAAAATATTCATTTAGGGATTTCAAAAGCCAAGGCTAGGGGCGTTCTGGTCATTTATGGGCTTTAAGTTTTATTCGAGAAGGCTTCGGGACGGGGTGCGTTTCTAGAAGCGTAGGGCTTATCGCCACCTTTTCATCAATATAAAGTTCGTCGGAAACATACTTAGGATGAAGGAGTTATAACATTTTGAAGTTGTTGTCATTTATGTCCCCTCAATGGAAAAGTTGGCACAGAAGGGCCATGCATGGAAAGTAGGAGGCGCGTAGGTATGCCCAGCGTATGAAAGGAGGTGGTTGCGGGAGCTTTTTGGTGTACGCCCAACGTACGCTCAGTGTCCAAAAACCCTAGTTTTAGGGCATGCCACTATATAAGGAACATAATGGCCCTAACCCTAGCCTCCTTTTCTGTCCCGCAACTCCAAAGAAGCCTTAGAATGCCTCATCTCTTCATCCTTGGGTGATTTTGACTTCAAGAAGCTCATTTTAGTGGTGTAAGCTTAGAAGAGGAAAGGAAGAAGATTGGCAAGAAGGAACCTTGGAAGCTGGAGCTTGTAGATCTGAGATAGCATCATCTTTTCAAACTCTTTGGAGGTATAAAGTTCACAACTTTACTTGAGGGTGCTTAGATCTAGTGTGGTTTAGTTATTGAGTAGTTTTTGGTCCAAATGTGGAAGCTTTATAGCTTAAATCCGATTTCCAGGCCAGGGGTTGCCACCCTTGGTGCTAAATGACTCGCTAGAGCAGAAGTTGATACATTGATGGTCTTTTTGGAGCCATGCAAGATATAGGACCATTGTCATGGAAGTAGGTTGTCACATTTTGAGTTGGGCTTATTTGATGGCTTGCAAGCCATCAAGTAAGCAACTTTACGGATTAAGACGTGGAAAAGGACCTAGTTATGAGTTTGTAGCCTCTGGAACGATGTATTAAGCACTTATTGGGAAAAGGCCTTAACAGAGGTATTACGTTGAGCGTGCGTGCAGGTACGCCTAACGTACACACCATCTTGCCTGTACGCTTAGTGTACATAGATGTACGCCCCACGTACCTTGTCTGTTGGGTTCATAAATTATTGGGTTGCGGATTGGGGCATGTTTGTGTATTTGAGCCTTAGCGGGCCATCGGAAATCAGATAATTTGGGCCAAGGAATATAATTGGGCTTAGGGTAGGGCCCATTAAAGGGATTGGACCCAGTTTGTCAAATTGTGCCATTAGTGGGCTAATAGTGGGCTTGGGAAGCTTACTTAGTATTGGGCCTTGGTTTTGAGCATTATATATGGACCAAGTTGGACTAGGGGTAGAATGGTTATTTTACCCTAAGATGGATTAATGTATTGGACTAATTGATATTTGGTGTTGTTAACTCAGGAAGCCGAAGGAATAGCAGTTCGGGAATTGTCACATAGCAGCCAGAGGGATATCAGCAAGGGTTCAACAATGCAAGGTGAGTCTCCTCATTGTGTGAATGGTTCTACGGCCATAATGTCGACCCATGTAGTTTATGAGTAGGAAGATCCGGGGGTTAGCCCTAGGCACTGTATGCTAGTATGTGATTCCGGATTAAGGTCTGATGTCGGGTGGGTGCCCGAGGAATGTTTGCATGATAATTTATATTTTTTGTCTGTGTGATACTTGTATGTGCTTGGTAGGGAGGTGGGTGTGGGTGAGGTCTCTTACCCCGTCATTAGCAGAGTGTGGACGGGGTTCCATATCTCATTAGTAATAGAGCAGGGGCGAGGCCCGAGATAAGAGGAAGGTGAGTGTGGGTGGGGGCCCGTATCTCACTAACAGCAGGAGCATGGACAGGGTTCCATAGCTTACTAGTAGCAGGACAGAAGCGAGGCCCAAGACAGGCGAGGCCTTAGGACAGTAATGCAGCAGGGTATGTTCAGTTTATGTGTTATGGTTATATGTTTGCATGCATTTAGCGGGAGGGGCCTAAAGTAAAATAGATTTGTATACCGAGCGGGGCTCGAAGCCAAGCAGGGCCCAATGTAGCGGTCGAGGCCCGAAGTAGCGGGTAGGAATGGCAATGAGGTGGGTTCGGGGAGGGGCATGGATTCCCAAACCCGCCCCGATAACTTTCGGGTATCTTATCGGGGCGCCCCATTGGGTTTCAGGTTTCCCCGTCGGGTTTCGGGTATCTTATCGGGTTTACAACAACTGATAACGAAATCTTTATTCTCTTTTAGGGTACCCCAATGTCTTATAAAATATACATGTTCTAGCAACTCTTTTAAATTAAAAACATGATGCATCACTTTAATAAAATAAACCGGACGTTATATAAAAAATTATTTGATTTAAGTTTTGTTTAATACGTCAAAACACATAAAAATGATCATTAACACCAGATTGTTAATAACTAAAAAAATTGTCCACAATAAGTATTTTATATTTGAACGTGTACAATTAACAGCAAAATTTTTTGAACATATTATATATATATATATATATATATATATATATATATATATATATATATATATATATATATAATCGGGGCGGGGCGGGTCGGGGCGACGATAACCCACTCCCTGCCCCGAACCCGATAAAAAACTCGATAACGACCCGTTACCCGACCCGAAATGATCGGGTTTCGGGTTTCCCCGTCGGGTTCGGGGTTTTTTTGCCATCCCTAGTAGCGGGTGTGGCCCAGTGCTTGCAGTATGTGATTATGCATGGTATGTGGTAGGTTGGGGGAACTCACTAAGCTTCGTGCTTACGGTTTTAAAGACCATGTGGGGTAGCCCATGGCATTCCCAAGTAAAGACCATGTTGGGTAGCCCATTGCACCTTGGATGTAAGATCATGTGGGGTAGCCCATGACATTCTCAGGTGAAGACCATGTGGGGTATCCCATGGAACGAAGGTGTAAGACCCTGGGGGGAGCCCACGACATCCTTACAGGTTTATGTATGCATGACTTATGTAATATATGTAGCTTCATAGCTAATATGATATATGTTATGTGGATTGTGGGTGGGTTATGCTCTGGGGAACTTACTAAGCATTATCTTACAGGTTGTAGATTTGTTTCAGGGACATCGGATCCCAAGGGCAAGGGCAATGTGTGATGGCGCGATGTGCACTCTCACACAGGTATTTTGTTGGACACTCTGATGTTCGAAATAATATTATTATGGATTTTAATTTGAAAATAGTTATAATGAGATTTCATGGTTTATGGCAAAGTGTTTTTACTATTTAAAAATGAAAAGTTCTACCCTTGATTTTTGGGTTGTTACATACATTGATTCCATTTTTTGAACTAACAACACCAAAAAGTAAATGCCAAATCCAAAGGTCTTAAAAAACAAAAAACTTCTAAAATAATTATTGGGTGCAACATGATCACCTCGAGTGAATTTCTCTTGCCAATCGAGACAATTTTCCAAGCCTAATGTATACAAACAATATTATTTATGTTAGCCGTATATATTTATTATATTTGTTATATTATGTTGTAATCCTTTTGGAGTGTGGCCCATCTATACTTAGCCCTCACTCTTATCCCTTGATTATTTTGTATATATATTTGATGGAATACAATAATGAAGACACGGGAAAATAATTTCCTAAAATGGTATCAGGCCAGAAAGAACCTTAACCGCTTTTCCATCTCTTCATCAACTCCTCTATCGACATCTCCTCCCTCTTTCTTTCTTCTTCCATAACTCCTCTTTTCAATGTTCACTCCTCTTGATAAATTGTATAGAATCACCAACATAAAATCTTATGTCCCTCTTATCCTTGATCTTGACAGATTAAATTATCATGCATGGCGTGAGTTCTTCAAAAACCACTGTGCTTCTTACAAGGTTTTCGGCCACCTTGATGCCTTTGATCACAAACCTACAGATCAAGACTCGTGCACTGCTGACTCCATTGTCAAACAATGGCTCTATGGTACCCTCACACAACCTCTTATTCAATCCATATTGATACCTGATGCTACAACAACTCAACTATGGAAGGCCATTGAAGACCTCTTTCGTGACAACAAAGAAGCAAATGCTATTGAACTTGAGAACCAACTGAGGAATACTACTCTAGGTGACTCCACAAACATGGAATACTACAAATGTATCAAATCTATAACTGATCTTGTAGCAAATATTGGATCAAAAGTTCCTGAAAGAACCCTTGTCACGTATGCTCTCAATGGATTATCTTCAAAGTTTGATCACATAGCCACTACAATCCGTCACAAGACTGCATTCCCAACTCTTCTTGAGATCCGGTCCATGCTTTCCATTGAAGAACAAACCCTACACAATCAACACAATCGGATTCCTCAAGCTTCTTACTTCGATTCATGTTCTTCTCATCAAGTGCTGCATACTAATCATCACTCTCAATCAAATAATTCTGGACCTTTTCGTGGAACCCAACGTGGTGGTGGTCAGAATCGGGGTGATGGAAGAGGACGGAATGACAGACGAGGACGTGGCAGCTATCGGAATAATGGAGGCGGAACTTTTCTTAGCGCAGCAGGTAACCCCAGCGGGTGCTAGGTCTTCTTTCCCGCCGAACAGCAAACAGCCGTTGAGCTGCTCCCGTCTCCACAGCAGGTGCGCTGGCCCACTCCTTTACAGGCCCAAAATCGAAAGCAGCTTCCTTGGCCCACTCAGCAGCCAGTCCAACAGGCCTTTTTTTTGCTGGACCTCAACAGCAACAACCCTTTAATGGGCAGCAGGCCTAATTATTTGGTGATCAACCCACAGCTCTACCTCAAGCTTTAGTACCATGAACCTTCAAGATCCCGGGACCGCCGATTGGTACACGGATATCAGGGCAACCGCTCATCTTCACACCGACTCAGGTATCCTAAATTCCATTAAAAATACTTGCAATAATTTTTCAGTCTTAGTTGGTGACGGATCGCGCATTCTGGTTACCCACATTGGTAACTCTTCCTTTTCTCAACATCCTTCCCACCCCCCCCCCCCCCAATTTATATCTAAATAATGTTCTCATTACTCCTCAAATTATTAAAAATCTTAATTTTGTTTGTCAACTCACTCGTGACAATAAATGCTCAATTGAATTTGATGAATTTGGTTTTTCTGTGAAGGATTATCTCACCAAACAAACTCTTATCCGATGTGATAGCACGGACGATCTTTATCCTTTCACTAAACAACTCCCACAAGTGCCTTTGAATGTTAGTTCTTCCACATGGCATGAAAGACTTGGTCATCTCGGCTCTCAAGTCTTTAAGCATTTATTATCCAAAAATTTTATTTCATGAATAAGAAAGATCCTAGTATCTTGTGCCATGCTTGTCAACTTGGCAAGCATGTTCGTTTGTCGTTTACCTTGTCTAAAACTAATGCTACTTTTCCATTTCATGTCAGTCATTCCCATGTTTGGACTTCTCTGATAACTAGTCATAGTGGAATAAAATATTATGTCATTTTCCTAGATCAATATTATTATTTTGTGTGGGTTTATCCTTTGCGAAATAAATCTGATATTTTTGCTATGGTTCTCCATATTCGCTCCTATGTTACAAACCAATTCAAAATTGATATCCAAATCTTTCAATGTGACAACAGAAAAGAGTTTGATAATAAGTAATTTCACAACCTTTGTGATTCTAATGGTATCCATATGCGTTTTTCTTGCCCACACACATCTCAACAAAATGGCAAATCTGAACGCATGCTTCTCACCCTAAATAATGTTATTCGAACTTTACTCTTTCAAGCTCATCTTCCTCCCACTTATTGGGTCGAAGCCCTTCATATGGAAGCCCACATTGAAAAAATCTTTCCCTTAACTACTTTAAATCATGATCCCCCCTTTTACAAACTCTTTAATAAACACTCATCCTACTCTCATCTTCGTGTCTTTGGTTGCCTTTGTTACCCTCATTTAAACAAAACTCACAAACTCCAACGTCGCTCCATACCATGCATTTTTATTGGCTATCCTACCCATCACAAAGGATATCGATGCCTCAATCTTCATACCAAAGAAATTATCATTTCTCTTCATGTCATTTTTGACGAATCCATTTTTCCGTTCGACTCTCTAACACCCGACAAATCTGCCGACTATGATTTTCTCAATATTGAAGATCAACGAAATATATTCAGTAGTTCTAACTTCCCTTCTCATCCCACTCCTCCATCTTCCACCATCGGTACCTCCACCATCCCACACAACGGCAACCATGCTAGCATCTCCACTACCTCAGACGCCAGCCCTTCCGACAACCATACGGATGGCGTGGCTGTTTCTTACACCCCCCTCCTTACCATCAAATCCGCCTTTCAACTCTCCCATTTGGTTTATAAAACATGTGCTAGGTACATAGCTCTCATTTATTGAGAGTATTATTTTTGTGAGTCCAATCGCAATACATGTCCATGAGTTTTTAAAGTACATCTGATGAACATATTGTTCATACACTTATAGGTTGCAAGCCTGCTAGTGTTCCACAGACCGTATAGAATAGTCCATGGTTGTCATCCATACTCTGCTAGATGATGGGGGCCAACGTTTGGGTAAGGGCTTCTCTCATATTTCACCCATCACCCTCATCTCATGATCTATATCATCTCATTTATCCAACTCATCTTTCATCACATACCAACTATTCCATCTACCCATGTTTTATCCAACATTTTTGTATATATAAAATAGATATACCGTTTAAATCATTTAAAACCTATATATATATATATATATATATATATATATATATATATATATATATCATTTATTTAACATCCATCCCAAATAAACAAATAATATATATTCACATATCATGTATTTTATATAAAATACTTCATATCTATGTGTAAGATGAAAGTGACTATACACACACTTAATTTGACGATAATTGAGCAGCACTTCGTACCTTAAAACAATCGTTTCTGATAAAACCGGGATAGGGGTGTTAAAAAGCCCCGTGGGGGCCCCGTCTCATTTAGGGGAAATTTTTAAAAAATATCGGGGGTGGGGACGGGGGCGGGGGTGGGGGCAAGTTTAACCCTCGTTTTAATTTCGGGGTCGGGGGCGGAGGTAGGCAATCCCGTCGCGAAACCCCCATGGGGACCTCGTTAATAAATTAAATATATATTTACATATATTAATAATATAAATATAATAAACAATAACATGATTTCGAGTTTCCAAATTTCATCAAAAACGTTGTTAGTATAATGTTTTATTAAGAGCCAAAGCTCAGCAAACTTGTTAGTATAATGTTTTTAAGATGTCATAACTTTTTTATTTTTAACATATAAATTTTACTATAAATAATTATTTTTACTTAAAAAATAGATTCTTTTAGCTTAAATAACAACTTCTTTTAGCAAAAAAAAAAAAAAAAAAAAAAAAGGAAACCCAAAATCTATTCGGGGCGGGGGTGGAGTAATAAAGGCGATTCGGGGCCGGGCGTAGGAAGGTTGAACATTTTGGGGGCGGGGGCGGGGACGGGGGAATGGGGAAATTTCGCGGTGGGGGGGGGATGCACTCCCCGTCCCGTTTTCCCCCGTTGACATCCCTAAACCGGGATGTTTTCTCAAAAACCAGGCTTCACGCGGGCAGAGTTTCGACTTGAAAATTTATTTTCTCGGGGACTTCAAGGCTTCTTGCTATTTATAATAAGAGCTTGACCCTCGGTGAGTTGGGCATAATTTTTCGGTATGCGGGGAGTACTGGCTTCTGATGCTTTACGTTGGGCGTAACTTCGGTACATTGGGCGTACGAGACGTGGCATGGGTTCATTTTCCGAGCCTCGGACTTGTTGATGGGGTGAGATACGTGCCTCCGTCCGAAGAAAGAGGTCGACGTGGCCAACTTCTGACCAAGTCCAGGTACGCGGGGTGTAAACTCGTACGCTGGGCGTACGACTTCGGATAAACCTCGAATTTTATATTTAAAACTTCCAAAATTCATATCTTTTGAATACGAACTCCGTTTTGGACGTTCTTTATATCCACGCGTAGGTGATATTATACTCTACAACTTTCATTTAGACTCCGTCGGCTAATTTTGATTTTATTTTTAAAGTTATATTTTTAACGGGCCGGGACAACAAAAGTCCGTTTAAAATTCATAATTTCTTTTTACCGTTGAACTATAATCGACGAGATCTTCGATTCTCGTTTAGGTTGTGTTGGCTAAAAAATCGTTCGATCTATAATTCGAGTTCCGGGCTGCATACTGCTATGCTAAATCTTCAAAAATTCATAACTTCCTCATACGAAGTCAGATTTGGACATTCTTTTTATGCACACTCTCAGTTTAACGTATACTATGACTTTCATTTAGATCAATAAAGCTAAAAAACCATTTTATCGTAAATTCACTTTTTACGTCACACAGCGTCGTGTTGGTTCTGTCGCGAAACTTCGACGTGTCATAACTTCTTCGTTAGAACTCGGATTTAGGTATTCTTTATATCTCGGAATCCTTTTTTCAACCTCTACAACCTTCTTCATAAATATCGGGTTTATCTAATATTTATTTTCGACGTTTATTTTGATCCTTAATTTATTAAATTATAAATAATTAAGTATAAAACATATAAATTCATATAATTCATTCTTATTACTTCAAAACGAGTTACAATGGTTGATCTAGACTATTACATCGTTTTTAATGCTTAGTCCAGAAACACGGACGTTACATTTGTGTGTGTTTGAAGTCTTTTTCTTTTCTCTATTAAAAAACTAGGTGTAAAACACATATATTTACATGGGTTCATTTAAAAGAAAATTTAAATATGAAATTCTAAACATTTAAAAGTTTGAGTTTATAAGAAAATTAGAAAAATATTAAATTATTAAAATTAATCTTTTTTTTTTTAATTTAAACAAATAATTTAGATAAATAAACAAAGGAAACTAATGAGGGTTTAATTTAGAAATTTTAAAAGCAAAAGAAAAGTCAATTAATAAAATTGATATGTATTTATTATTATATTTATTATAATTATTACATTTAAATATTATATGGAATTTGATAAAATGAAAAAAATCACAAATGAAAAATTTTAATTGAAAATAACCACAAAATAACATGTAATAAAATCAATAAGAATGTGACATTTAGCAAAAAGAAATCATTAATTGAGTAGATGTATGATATACTTGATAAGAAATTATGTTCACGCCAAACTTAAGCTTTTAATTAGGGGGTGTTTGGCTTAGCTTTTGAAATCCCAAAAGTCCTTTTTGGAAAAGTTACAAAAAGTTAGGATTTCCTAACTTTTCCAAAAAGTTTCTTTTCCATATGTAAAAACTTCAAAAGTAGCTTTTAAAACTAATTTTGTCAAACATCTTTTGTTTTTTTTTTTTCTTTTCCAAAAACGACTTTTGGTGTGAAAAGCTAAGCCAAACACCCCCTTAGCTTCTATCATAAACTTTTAATATAGTGCCTACACTTTATAATAACACTCAATTTATTGCCTACATCTTTTAATACGCATCTTAATCTGTTTGTTTTTTCTTTTTCAGCGAATAACCTTTTAGACCTATCTAATTACTTTTTGTTTTCTTTAAATCATTTTCAAAAATTATATAACTTTTGTTTGGATCATAAATATGTTTATAACAAAATTTTAACACTTAAAGTTATTATTATTACATTTTAATTTATAAAATTTATGTGATTCATTATTAACATTAATTTACAATAGCATTTAAAACTTTATACAATTCTTTATTTTTAAAAAGTCTTTATTGA